GTGTGTGTGTGTGTGTGTGTGTGTGTGTGTGTGTGTGTGTGTGTGTGTGTATGAGGGAGTTGAGCGAAGGGGAAATAGGGATGAACATTACGAAAATCAAAATGGGTGCAATATCTCTTCTGAGGACAGCCATCACATCTTAACTAGAGGGAAGAAAGAAACTATGATTCCAGACTTTGTAAAAAACTAATCTTCCTACCCCATTATCATCTCTAATTATTCTATAGTACTGTATTTCATCATAAAAAGGATGAACTGGAAGAATAGTTTTGTTTGGTTAAGTTAGAGACTTTTTTTTTTTTTACTGTAGAAGAAAACCAAGGACACTGTTAATAGAACAAGCATCATGATTCCTTGGCAGATTTAGTCATGGAAGACTTTCTTTTTAGAATACACCTTAGGGTAGAAACGTTAAAACTTGCAACCAGCAAAACTCACTTGATGAATTGCATTAAAATGTAACGGGGAAGTGTTTGACAAAATAAATAAAAAATACCACACAACATAGATAATGTTAATTTGTGGTTTTCTAAATCAATATGTGGCCCAACAGGATCCATTTCTTTTTGAGTCTGACCTCACTTCCTCAGGGAACTAAGGTTTATTATCGATGGTGTCTTTCATCTGTAGGTCTTTATTGTGAATCCAATTTACAGATTATGATCAAATTAGGAAAGCTACTGATATGGGCAATAAAGCCATTCGGCTGCCTATTTACAAATGCCCATGCTACATTACCCCTTACCCCCTTCCCTCCCCAAACAACTGTAATTGTAATGAAGCTTCTTAATTTGTGGCAATAGCAACAAGGACATTATGGATGAAAATCCATGGAGACTGAATTGAGATCTTACCTTCTTTCAGATGTAGTACTTCCAAATTTAAGGTCAAATGCAAAGGTATTCGAATGGGCAAACTTACACTCACTAAACATAAAAAAGTAAATGTATTTACTTGTATGAGTTCTCCCTCCCCCCCCCCCCCAGCCTGTATTCTTGAAATGGAAGTAGTGAGGGGGAGGGGTCATGTTAAATTGCCAGGAAGCAAGGCAAACTCTTGGAGGGCACCACCAGTGTCCCCTCCCAAGAACCCCCCAGGCTTTGGAACCAAAATTGAAGGCTATGGTAAGTACCTTGACACTTGTCCTTTTTTTTTTTTTAAACAATTCTTACTTCCTCAAAGAAGCAGGTATTCTAGGAGGGAGGAAATTATGTGTAAGTTACTTATCCTCAGTTTCCATATCTGTAAAATGAGATGAGAGAATATGACCTATGAGGTCCCTTCCAGCTCTAAATCTATGATCCCATATGAAGGAAATACACACATACACACACATTTCCCCCCTTTTCAAAAATATTTGAGGAAAGAAGGAACAAAGGAGAAAGACAAAAAAAAATATCCAAGAGATGAAATCCATCATATTTTATGTCTCCAGTGCTGAGTGTGGCATCTTTCAAAAAACTTCAAATATTTTAAAATGCAGATTAAAATGGGAAGCAGAATTCAGTTCATCTGCTGTTTGTCCTCAGATTTTAACATGATTCAGAATGTGCATTTTGATAATTCCTTAAACTCAGTTTTATGAGATTTGGGTTTGGGAATTATTGCATTTCCAGACATAAAGTAGTAATCAAATTTTGGCTCAGAGATTTGTTCACATTAACTAACTGTAGGCTCTCTAACTAAATGCAGTAGGATGAATAGGAATAATGACCACCATGAATGAGTTCCTGCACTAGACTTTGACCTCCTTGTGAGCAGGGGCTGTTTTTTGCTTTTCTTTGTATCCCCAGAGCTTAGCACAGTGCCTCACACAAAGTAAGTGCTTAATAAATGCTTACTGACTATTGTTGGGATGCTTGATCAATGCTACACAATGATGACCAAAAATAATTCTGTCAATAATGACAAGAGTCCTACAAAGTCCATTATTAATTGCATTATTATATTCCATTATTAATTTTTCCCAAATACCTTGGGAAAAATATGTTCTTTTCAGACATAAAAATATAATTTAAGAAAAGAATCTGACTCAATGCAGAATAAAACCCCCCACATCAATAACAGATATCTTCCTATACCCAGTCCCCCTTTCCCCAAAGAAAAACATATGTAGTACATCAATGTCCTTCTACTACTATGGAACTAGCTGGCGACATTGAACCAGATTTATTCTCTGTATCTCAAGATGTATTTTCAGTGAAATGTTAGCAAAGGTAATTGTTTGTATTAATTAAATAATGCTGATTGGTATAGAAATCTATTATATTAATTACAAAGGAATAGAAAAACCAGTCATATGAGCCATTCATCTATTCTGTGGCTTATCCTGAAAGTTTTTCCTCAACTTTGACTAGGTTCCCTATACTTTCCAGGGCCTTCTGGGCTACCGCTTTATTTATCATTGGCTGTGTTTGAGGAATACAAAATATTAGCCTTAGAAAAAGGTAAAGCTACTGGCAGAATATCTAGATGTTTATAATACACTTACACAACATAATTACCTATGTGTATATGCACATGTACACATATATATGATGTATGCTATGTACTAAAAACTCTCCAAAGCCAAATAATCATGATCTAGTATATTCTGTAATGTCACTTTCCTTCATAGCAAAGGGAATCAAGATTTACCTCTAAGTTCTGTCCCTAGAAAAACCAGAGTGTTATAAGCAGTAGATGTTTAAACCTCTTAATAAAATAAAGATTCAAAAGGCAAATATTTTGAAATGATTTGTCTCCTTTCTCTAGATGAGGAAAGATTACTAGACAAGAAAGTCATAGGAGTGAATTCATGACTTTAAAGAGGTAAATATCTTATTCCCCTGCTCAAGGGAAACTTGAACACATCTAGATATGTGTACTACAGTTTGTGGCATGAGGAGGGTAGGAAGGAGTGGACAATATTAGATGGCTATCTATAACCACTCCCTATGAGACATTCTGGAGTGAGAACTTCTGTGTTTGGACACTGATGTTCAGGATTTGGTGATGGAATGACTTTGGGAGCACCTGTGAGGGATATTAACTACCCTGGAGAAGGGCTGCTCTCTTCTGTGCTCAAGAGGCTATGCTGTATATCTGCCCCCAAGAACACTAGAATCAGTATGACTGTCCTTTAATGAATAGAAAACTTTGACTCTTAGGCCTTCAAATTTGGAATTAAGACACAAGATTCAAATCAGAAAACCATTCCAAGTGACCCTATGCTACCCTTGCAAAGGATGCCATTGCTAAAGTCTACAGAATACCAAAGCACTTCCTCTATGGGCAGATTTGTGACGAGGAAGACTAATGATTTGGTAGAATTAAGCTTACATCTTGAGAAGGGCTGACATATGCTTTAAATTATAGCAAATCTGGAATAATAAAAAGCATAACAATAAAAAATGTTTCACACATTGTTTTTCTGTTTTATTTATAGAATTTTCCCTATGTAATATAACATTGGAAGGTAAGAGATGCTGCTGTCACGAGTTATTTGGGGTGAAATGTGTAAAAATAATCTGAAAGAGCAAGTGTGCATTGAGATTAACTTATATATGAGGAGAGATGAAAAGCATGGGAGAAGTAGAAAGTTGAAGGATTTTGCTAGTAGCAGGAAAACCTGGGTTTAATAAATCAGAACATAGAAAAACCCAGACAGATTTATATTGTTTCTTTTTGTAAATAAGACAGAATTTTTGACACATCAAGAACAAGATCATCTTAATGAATGCAAATTCTATTTCCTGTGCTTTCTTGAATAATCTTGTTTTTACTTAAGATAAACCAAACCAAACCAAATATATATCATTTTTTCTTCTAGAAAGTGTTTGTCTGTAATGGCTGGTGTTAATGCAAGACCCCAAAAGAAAAATGAAATAATAGATACGAACAATGAGTTTGTCATACCTTGAAAATTCTTTTTTTTTTTTTTTGTATTTCTTACAACATGTATTAGAAACAAGGAGGCCAATGATACCCTTTTTATTCTAGTCTTACCTCTAAATAAGAATAGCTAAATCAGGTCCAAGATTCTCTGAAGTTGGAAGTCATTCTTCGTCCAATGAGAAAAATAATTCAAAATTTTAAAAAATGGGGAAAGGAGTCAACAAAATGGCTGAAATACAGTACTATAAGATTAGAAAAGAATGAAGGGATTCTCCAAATGTCATATTTTGGCACTTTTTTCTTAAAAATAGTTGCAGGTTTGGAATCATTTTTGAGGAAAGTCAGGTATCTGTGCAGTGTTGTCTTTAGTATACTTTCTAACTGACTAATATAAATTTGAGGTGGATGTCCCATATGAAAGCAAAGCTTCTGCAGCTCAAGGCTTTGGGACTGCTCCCCCTGTGCAGGCCTGTGTTCTGGGCTCCTGAGCTCTCCGTGATTCATGGTGACTCATTTTATTACAGTTTAAATCTGGACTATAAATTTAATTCAGCTCCTTTCTTCACTGAACAGTTAGCTCTACCTTGCATCCCCAGCAGACACAGGGAAAAATCTTTATTTTCTTGAGGAATAAATCATTAAGGATTTGAGAGAAATAAGTCAGCCAGGACCAGAAATGGGCAAATAATCTGCCTTTTTTTTTTTTTTTAAAACTATTAAAGACTTTAGGCCTTTCCTACAAAAGATAGAAGATTCTCCTCACCTAAGATCAAACAGTCCCTTCTCATAGTCTCCCGAGTTTGGAGCTACCGTTGCTAGACGGTCACTGATGAATATTCTACATCACGATTTTGACAGGGTGATCTATGACTCACTTTTGTTTCAGAAATTAAGGTGAGACCGTCCCCCACCTTTCTGCTGTTGTTGAAAGCTGGGCCTGTCTCAAGAGGGTTTTTCATAATAAAGCCCAACAAAGCAAGAATACCACCGAACAAGGTTCTCTCCCAGGATCACAAGCTGATAGGGACCCCTTCATTTTGCAGATGAGGACACTAAGTTCCAGAGAGGTCCATGCTAAAATCTATGATCGTCTGATCTTAAGTGACTTGCCCAACATGATATGGGGAGCAAGGAGATGAGTTAAGATTCAAATACAGGTTTTTTTTATTTCATCCTACTGTCTCTTTACCAACATAGATGAGTTGTGGTTTTTAATCACCAATTTATTGGCTCTTTGGCAGGGAATGCTGATTTACCCTGATGAAAACAATAAGGGAGGCAAAGTAGGTACCGCTCCTTTCACTTCTATCAGCACAAAATATTTGGGAGGGTCACAGAAGGAGCCTGCCAGTGAAGTGGTATGTACAAAAAGGCCAAAAATCCATCATTTCTCAGCTCTTCTACTAGTTTAAAAGTCAATAGGGAAGCAGAAAAGACAATGACGGTGGTTTTCCAAGACTGGCAAAAATTTTCCTTTTTATCCATTTGGTGGAAAGTTACAATTCCAACCCATTTGCTTTCAACCCATAGGCATGACCTGTGTGATGCCTTCAATCAATCTGGATAAATTTCATGACAGCAATGTGAGTGAAGGTCTCACTCTGGTATTTCTGGTGAGAAATGACAGCACATTAAAGTAAATGTCCTAGCTATGCCTTCTTGGTTGATTATGGCAAGCACAAAATATGCTTCTGAAAACGGGACAACTGCTGCTTTATTGCTACATTGGAAAACAACTGTGGCAATGGTAGTTTCTTGTTTAGACTAAGGTAAATTTGAAACCTTCATTTTAACCCAAAATTGCAGAAATGTGCTGCATCAGGCCATATTTAAAGTCACTTTTTTTCCCCAAAGGCAAAGTACAAAAAAACTTTCACCAAAAGTAAGTGAGAAATTGGTAGATTTTGACATAAAAATCAAGACAAGCTTTCTTCTATTTCTTGAGACAGTACAGTTTGTGATTCACAGGATAACTTGCATCAGACACCATTTAATGAAAGCTCTCAAATAAGCAATTTTATTCCTATCCATGATTGCAGACATTTACAAAACCATAACATCTGAATTCACCTTAAAAAATAACTTATATAAAGCAGTGATATACACAGCACAAAATAGTTCAGGGGGAGGGAAAAGTAACTTTTAATAATTAAAATGTAAACGTGAAAAAAGACGGAATAAAAGTCCCTACTTATTTCTACTTAAGATGTCATGTGATAATTATTTTACAATGTCCTGTGGATACATGTATGTATGTGTGCATGTATATGTCTATATAGCATATACATATACAGTACATTCATTGTCCCACACATATACATACACAGATAATTATTTGCAGTTCAATTTAGGGCAATTTTAATATGCCACTCCGTACAGTTGTTTGTATCACGTTTGGACCTGCTTTCTTCACAAAATAAGGGAGAGAGCAGGAAAAAAATAGAGTTGGTTTGGTTGTGACCGAGATCCTTTTGTTTGTTAAACTGTACATGGCGATGAATAATTTTCTTCTGTAGTAGTTCTGTGAAGAAGGCTGACTCACTGTTGTTGTCAGAGGAGGCTCGGGAATGGATCACACACTCATTGTCATGCTCGGGGAATACTGAAAGAAAAGAGGAATCCATATTGTCACAATAGGACTTGCTCAGACCACTGACATGCTTTTCCAGGGCTACAAGAGTTACTGGGCATCTTCCTTTCTTTTCTCATGCTTACAAGTTTAACCTCAAAAAGCAAAACCTCTAATACTGTAAAGAGAGTAAGTTAAAATATACTTGGCCTATTTAAAAAAAAAAAACCTTTTTAGTGTTGTCTTTAGGAATCCACCATTTTCCATTTCCCCTTCAGGCCAGGGAGGGTGTTAATTACTTAGCTCTATGGAGGCTGATTGGAGAATAGACATCTTTAACCCACTCATTTAGGTGGTGAAGTGGATATAGAGTGCTGGGCTTGGAGTCAGGATGACCTGAGTTCCAATCCAACCTTGGACACTTACTAGCTGTGTGACCCTGGGCAAGTCTGTTTGCCCCTCTTTCCTCATCTGCAAACTGGGGATAATAATAGTACCTACTCCCAGGGTTGTTGTGGGGATGAAAGGAGATAAGTGCTTGGCACATAGTATGCGTTATACAAATGTATTATTATTATTAACTTGTGCGATATATCATAAAGAGCGGTGACCCTGGAGTCATAGGACCTGCGGTAGAATCTTGGCTTGGGCCTCAGTTTTCTCAATGAAGAGACTGAGCTAGACAGCCAGTAAAGCCCCTTTCCAGCTTGATATCTATGGTCCTAGTCCAGGGGTTAGTAATTATGTTATGTTATGTTAGTAATTATGGAAGAATCACGTTTCCCTTCAGCAAAGTCCATGGTTGACAGCTTCCTTTTCATACCTTTTTATGTCAATGTCATTGTGCAGCAATTAATTCCTCCCCCCCCACAATCTATTCTCTAAGAATATGGGTAGAAAATAGTATAATTGAGTAGTATAATTATTAAATGCTAGTTGCTTTTTTATTGCACTGTAATCACTAAATGAGGCTATATTCCTGAGTTTCTGAAAGTTTTACTTCTGATCTACTATCATCTTATCAAAATACCAATTAGAGGTGTACAAAAATGCCTTTCCCCCCCAAAAAAAGCGACTGCAGATTGAGTTGGGATCTCAAGACTGTCTGAAATATTTTGAAGTCAGACAATAGGTACTTCCTGGGCTTATTCCCAGGCTCCAATTCTCTTCATTTAGTAAAGGTTATTTGTGTATCTCTAAAACTGAAACTTGATGAAATAAATTGAACCCAGGCACCAAGATAGTGGGGAAGCTTCAGTTAGACCAGATGCACTGGGGTTAAGAGGATGGTAGGGGAAGGCGGAAGTGATTTTTAGAAAAAGAGCAGGGAGAAAGAGTAGTCTGACTAGAAACTAGCTTGAGTGGTCTAGAGCAGAAAGGGGGAAAAGCCACATGTAAAAAGAACTGAAGACTGAGAGAAGGCAAATTTCAAAGGGGGCAAAACCCAAGTAAGCTGAAGTGGATGAAGAAAGCCTCTGCTCAAACCAGGAGAATATCATACACAGTAACAGCAACATTGTGCAATGACTAACTATGATAGACTCATCTCTTCTCAGCAGTGCAAGGATCTAAGACATCTCCAAAAGTCTCATGATGGAAAATGCTATCCACATCCAGAGAAAGAACTTTGGAGTCTGAATGCAGATTGAAGCATAGTATTTGCTCTTTTTCTTGTTGTTTCTTCCTTCTCATGGTTTCTCCTACTGGTTCTAATTCTTTACAACATGACTAATGTGGAAATATGTTTAATATGATTGTGCATGTATAGCCAATATCAGATTGCATGCAGTCTTGGGGAGGGAAGGAGGAAAAATTTAGAACTCAAAATCTTATAAGTGAAATTAATTAATTAAATTAAAAATTAAAATTAAATTAATTAAATTAAAAATTAATTAATTTTTTAAAAAAAGCCTCTGCCCAGCGCCCTGCTTTGAACAGAGACTGAGGGCTGTCAGGGAGCACAGAGGTAGTTTAGCCCAAGACTCTCATTTGACTGATAAAGAAACCTAAGGTCAGAGAGCTTATTGACTCCCCTAAACACACTACCCAAGCAGCTGAGCCAGTACTTGAACCCCAGTTGGTCCTGACTATTTTTCAATATCCTTTCTGTCTATTACCCTACAATGGCCTACATAGGGAAGAACATTATTCCTCTAGAGACCAGAAAATGAGCTAAAAGAAGTTGTTTGGCCTTGAATTAAATAATGAAATCGTGGTCTAGTAAGAATAGCTGTATCCCTGAAGGGAGGGGTCCTGGAGGAAATGACCCATGGTCTAAGGACAGGAATGAGGACATTAAAGACCTGGAAAGGACCACATAATTTTCTTAACATATTCCAACCCAACTGGGTAATGTTGGTCTTTTTGTGATTTATCTTAAATTTATATAGTTCGTACCCTGAAATTCCCTGATGTTGGTGTAAAGTTTAGTTGTGAAGGTGACTTCTCTATACTCAATCACATCAGGCAAAAGAAGGGGCACAACAGGAGAAGAGAGAAAACTAGAGAGGGATTGGTTTTCTGGCAGAGAAATCATTCCCCTTTTTAACCACAGGGTGGTGGTGGGGAAAAGCTAACCAGAATCTAAAATCTCCAGGTTAAAGAATCTGTCTTGCTGAGCCTTCTATTTGTTTGGGCCTTTGGCTGAAGTGGGTGTATCTTATTCACTCACATGGTGCATACCATATAGATTCTTATAGATAAAAGTAATAATTTCAGGAACATAATATAACCTCTATTATAGCTATAGCCTAACTAACCAGAAGCCTCAATTAGCTGAATTATTTGTTGGCACTTCATTTTTAAGGTAGAAAGGAAAATAAAAAATAAAGCTTGTAACAGATTATTCTTTTTAAGGGAAATTTTCAGGGAAGAGATTCGACTGAATCATTTTACATCTATACTATTTTACCCTCAGACACAAGGCTCATAAATGATCCTGAGACATTATAAGATTGTCAGTTACCAGAGATTAAATATCCAGCCTTCTATATGTACTAAGACAGCAAAGGACAGCCATGTATTTTAGGAATATTTTCAAAAATGATCAGAAAAAAAGGATATCCTGTTTAATTTAGAACTAAACAGCACATTTAATTAAACAGCACATTTAATTAATCAGACCACCCCATTCCATGATCATTTTTATTACTGAAAATTTTTTTTACAGTGCTAAAGGAATAGTCTATTCAAATATTAAAACAGTAAGAAGTGTGTTTAAAGAAGATACTATTGCTTTCATATGGAAACTAAGAGAGAGATTATTAAAGTCAATTTGATTCTTTTTACGCGAGTGTGTTTAAAAATAGATGTGCACACACTTCAGCTATAGATGGAATTCAAGCTATAGCAAGAAAGAACACTTGTAAAATTTATTATCCTCCTAATCTTACTTCAATTCTAAAGGCTGAAGTGAACTAAACTTGATTCCTTGAAAGATCTGTGGAATTTAAATATGTTTGTGAAATGTAAGAATAATCTCATTTATTAGTGGTCACTAATAACTTGTAATCAAAACATGGCCTCTTAGGCAATTAGTTTGTTTACTTGAAGTATGGAGAGAATAATTCATGAATTTGCTAACAATGCTTGGTCTTCAACATCTATAATAGGAGACACTTAAAAGAGATTAACTGAGAAAAACATTTGAGAAGTTATTTGATCAACTTAAGTATCATCTGCCCTTAATAGCATGGAAGGAAAGAAGAAAGCAGAAAGATATTATGGTATTAAGAACTGATGTGAATTGTGATAAGATCCATGTATTAAAATTGGTTTTTGTTAATACTGATACTTGGTCAGTCTTCAGCAAATCATAAAGGCTGACATTTATTGTCAGATTGATTTGGAGCCTGAGAGCTGGATTTGTCCAAGGAAGAAGTGAAATGGATAACAATGGTAGAACATTAGAAAAGATGAGTGTTGGATACAGAGAAATAAAGCATCAGCTAGGAACATTAAGATACTGAGAAATTAGAAGCATCTAATAAAATTTAATTTCTGAATAGTCTGAATAACTGCAAATGTCACTTTAAATGCATTTGGTGCAATAAACTAGATTCTGTCTATTATGTCTAATTATCTAGATCAGCAATATGCAATTTTAACTTCTATGGCAGCAAACTACTCATCTCATGCTGCCTTTCTGAATATGTAGCTTTTATTATAGCTCCTGGATTCTGGGAGAAGTCACGGGATTTATAGGAAAATGGGGGTGGGGCACTGCCAATGGAACAAATGATATGGAATTTCTGACATTGTTCCCTATCTTTCAAAAAAGGAGCAAGAAATGAAAGGGGGAAGGGACTGTTTTTTTTTCTAGCAGTAAAGGGAGGGCAGGTGTTAAACTGAGGATCATACAGAGAAACATAAAATATTCAAGGTGTGTTATACTGCTATTACATTGTAATGTTTCTATTGTAGTGCTGTCTCGATGAAATGACTTATTGAAATGTCTGTGCTATCTAGCGGCTCTGTTCCAGGACTATCTGTGAGGTTGTTTCCTCTCAAACGGAAGATAAAATGGCTCTTGTAAATCTGTTGGCAGCACTACTATTTGGTTATTCAGAACTAAATAAACTTGATTTTACTTCAAAGCATTAACAAATGAAACACTGAAACTATGTTGCATATACATATATAGATAGACTAAGCTCTTTGCACCAGGCGATGCAGAATCCTCAGACGTTTCAAGCCTTTCGCAGTTTGGATCTGGCTTATCATTCTGTAATAATACATTACTCTCCCACATTCATTCTAGTTCCAGACAAACTGGCCTACTACTCCAGGATGGGCAAGCTAGGTGGTGTGGTGGATAGAACGCTAGGTCTAGAGGCAGGAAGACTCATCTCCCCGAGTTCAAATCTGGCATCAGACACTTAGTAGCTATGTGACCCTGGGCAAGTCACTTCACCCTGTTTGCCTCAGTTTCCTCATAGTCAAATGAGCTGGAAAAGGAAATGGCAAACCACTCCAGTATCTTTGCCAAGAAAATCCCAAATGGGGTCACGAAGAATCGGACAGGACTGAAAAAT